TTGCCCTTCATCAGGGTCTCTGAAGTCATGTAAATTTTACTTTTGGTGTGGGGAATGTGTTCAGAGGATTGAGTGAGCAGCGCTGGGCAGTGTGTATGTATACCCCCTTGTATAGCAATTCCAAATAATCAAAAATGATGATTTTTCCCTGTCTTGTTTTGCAATGTCTTTTAGGTCTCATTATGTTTGGAGGGGAGTTTTTGACAAGTTTTTTTCCCAGAAGCTGGGGTTCAAGAACGAATGAAAGAACATGGGAAAGATCCACTATGGAAAATCAAGTATGAAGAACATTTTATATATTTAAGAATTTCCTTGATTGAGTCAAAGTGATGTTATAAAGTCATTTGGTTGATAAGACCAAGTATGAAAATAGTATTTTTGAGGGGAAGAGTTTGTATTTTCAGGTATACTTCTAATGGAAGTACACTATTTACTGCCTGTGACAGAGGAGTTGTTCGCAAGTGAGTCATACTCTCTGGTAATTGACATGCATTAAGTGATCTCTTGACTAGCCATTAACAATGTTAATTTGCAACTATTCTTAAATCAACAGATGTTGATTGACTGTTAAAACTCTAAAAAGTAGCCCCTATTTTGTGGCCACCCTAATTTTAGCCAGGACTACTAAAATTATCAATAAATCATTGAAAATAGAACATCTGTAAAGTACATCTATCACCCGAAGGGCAGGTAAACTAATAGTGGTGGATATACCAAAACGCGAAGTATCGAGGTATATATCTAGCGCTATGAACCAACTCTGAGGGGGTAGTTGTATTAGACTAGTATTCACCAAATCAGTTGGATAAAACTGAAAAAAGTGACTTTTTGTAAATTAAAAGCGTCACTTAGTAGCAACTTTGTTTTCAATTTACAAACAGTTCAGGGATTTTGTCAAGTGCGTTTTACGATTTTGTTGCAAATTCCCCTGCTTTTCCCTTCCTCCCTATCCCCTACCCCTTTCGACGCCTGCTATGCACGCTATTACAGTCCCTCTGTTGTTCTCGTCTCCTCCCAAACCGCCCCCGCCGCCTAAGTTGTTTTGACACTCATGCAAGATGGCAGCCCGTAACGCAAAGCGCTCGATCTCGACGATCTTACTGAAAAATAGAGGACTGTGAACAATCTAGGCCAATCGTGAGGCGCATAAGAAACTCGGAAGAAATCCGCCTATCAGAAACGCTCACATATGTCCTTGCAATTCTGCAGGATATTAGAACGAGTTTTTGTGCACTAATTCGCAGACGGACTATACAAATGATTTATAAGACGAGTGCGTGAACCGGCTGCAACACAGACTGCTTCCCGGCTACCGGGCATATAGCTCGGACAAGTAGCCACAACGTATTATAATTTGACCCCTCATTATCCAGAATTTCAGACGATTGCTTCGAGTCGTTTTTACTCCCTCAGCTGAAGGAGTAAAAACCACTCGAAGTAATCGTGTAAAATTCAGGCTAACCCCTCATAATGCTTTATTATTTTCCAATTTTTTATGGATGGCTGCATTTCGGGACCTATTTCTCGGAGTACTAAAGTCACTTTTGTTGACGTAATTTGATCAAAATGGAACTAAATGCTAAAGGAAGGGAAAAATCCCATAGGTTTAATTTCTTCTTGGTAGAAGATTGATTGTTGCTTATAGGTACGTTTTGTGCAAGTCTGGTTGTTATGTGAAGGAAAATGCAATTGACTTTTATACTGACGTGCTTTGCGAAATATGATTTTCTCGTAGACTTTTTCGTCGTGACAAATCAAGCGAACTATCAAGACTGTTCAGGAATTTATAACTGAGGTAGGCATTGTATTAGCTGAAGTTATACTCGAACTACACGGTTTCTTTACCTTAAAACGGCATTTGGTCATTTATATCGTGGAAACTTTTGTCAAAGTATTCTATCTTCATTTAGAATAACCAAGCGATCAGGAAAACAAAACTCGCTTCGCAGCTGAGCGATTGTGGTTTCTTGGGTATAGAGTACAAACGACGCTGTCAGACGCTAGGAATAATTTCGTTAGTAGCAGCGCGTCAGTGATAATAAGCATTTTTTCTCTTTCCCCAATATATTTCGTTTCGCTGGATAGAATAAGCCGGGCGTTACTCACGGGCACGATTTGAAAGAAGCTAAATACCCACCAGTCTCAAAGCGAACCTAGAAAGTGAAAACGCCTTCCCTAAGCTCCAGAATACACGCATATTAGCCATTATGCTCAAATTTTCGAGCATAATAATTATGTCTAACCCTAATTTACAGCGTCGAAACTACTCTATGCCCGAGAAACCACAACCCCTCATTTGCGAAGCCATTCTTGTTTTCCTGATTGCTTGCTAATTCTAAATAAAGATGGAATACTTTCAGACGATTAGAAAGTACTAGAAAAAGGCATTTTGCAGAAATTCTAGAAAATTTTCAGACTGCCGGGCATGCATAGTTTTTTTTAAGACCCTTCCCGGGTGCCGAGCATATAGCCACAGCGTATTAATAACTGTATGTATTTG